TTTTTTTTTTTTTTTTGAGCCGGGGTCTCACTAGGTCACCTAGGCTGTAGTGCAGTGGCATGCTCACAGCCATGGCAGCCTCGATATGCTGGGCTCAGAGATCCTCTCGCCTCTGCCTCCCAAAGTTCTGGGATTACAGGTGTGAGCCACCATGCCCGGCCTTATTCTTACCCTTATCTTGACAGCCTTCCATAAGATGGAATCAGCCTTGGCTTAGAGAGGGGTTGTCTCACCTGGGGCTGCAGTAATCTGCATAGTGCCCCCCAACTTCCATTCCTGGCACCCCACGTACTATACCAGGGCTCCCCTGTCTTGGTAAACCTCTGTATTCAAGATTTCTGTGATTCGTTGGACACCTGTGGGGGATTCATGCTCCCAGCTGTGGCCAGCACCAATCCCCTCCCCCAGTTCAGGTAAGATTGGGAGGATCAAGCATCAGCTGGGGTCAGCGACTCTCCCGGAAATCAGAAGACAGAAAGCTGAGGACAGGCTGGGAACCCCAGGTTGGTCAGATCTCCCCTCCTGTCTGGCTTCTCCCCTCACAGTCTCACCACTAAATGGTGACAGAGGAGATCCCAGGCTTGGCCCAGAGTCTGGTTCCACAGCATGTCAGTTCCATCTGCCAGGAAATAACCTGTGGGCATGGGGGAGTGGGAGGAAGTGAGGGTTCTCCAGAGTAGGTGCACAGCTTAGGGAGGATTTCTAGCCCCACCCCTTTCCCAGTTCTTCAGTTTCCCGCAGTAAAACCTCCAGAAACCTGTAACCCCTGTGGGGCAGGGGGAAAGGACCTGGAATTAGAGCTAAGGTTGCCCCCAGTGCCTCACCCTTCCCTGCAAACTCACCCACAGACACAGCCACCAGCACTAGGGCCCAGGGCGGGTGGCCATGAATCGGGTCGGCAGCCATATGAGGGTACAGCGACAGCCTGGGAGATATGGGGGGCCGTGGTCAGACTTTTGAAGACCAGGGCCCACTCTCCGACTGTGCCCCCTCCCACCCATCCACGCCCTCATCCCAGTCTCACATTCTGAAGCTCTTGCATCAGTTCTGCAGATGCTCGCCCGGTTCCTCAGCCTTCCACCCCTCGCCGTCTCCCACCTGCCTCTGGAGCCCCCAAGCCCCGTACCCGAGCAGCGCCCCGGTTCCCGTGAGCAGGCTGTGCACCAGGGAGACACAGATGTTCCGCCACTTCCAACGGTGCTGAGCAGCAGATCCCGGCGTGGGCAGCAGCTGCAGCCCCCAGTGCAGACCTCGGAACGCCGCGAAGGAGGAGCCCGTCACGAGGAGCCCCGAGGGCGTCGTGGCTTGGCGGGCCGGCCAGGTCCGGATCGGTCCCTGAGGCCGCTGCGCTCCCGGCCCCGACGCCGCCAGGGCCCCCAGCGGAGACCGTGCTCTGCTTCCCGGCAGGGCTGGCTCCCTGGGCTCCCCTACCCGCCCCGCCTTCGGAATCTGCAGGAACTTTTCCCCGGCTTGTCCACGCCCCGGGCGCTGGGCTGGGCGGCGATTGGAGCGGCTGTGGGGCCACCGCCCCTGGAGTCTCGGCCACCGATCGCGTCCCGCCCCAGCCCGGGATAGCTGCTGGGGGGTCCCGGACACCAAAACGCGCGAGGGAGCTCGGGGGCGGGGGCTTCCGGGAGGCTAATAGGGGTCTTCCCCACCTCCGTGTGTCCTGGTCCTCCGAATTCCAGAAATGGGTCGCTAATCTAACCTCACCGGACACTCTTGGGGCCACACCCCACGAACTCTCACCTCCTCTTCCCTATTCGCACACCTCTCACCTGCCGGTCTTCCGCCTACCCACCGTCAAAGCCCTGAAGGCAGAGGCAAGCGCCAGCCCTCTCCCTCTAGCTGGGGCCTCTCCGCCGCCCCGCTCCGCCCTTCCCTCTCAGCGTCCGTCGTGGGGGAGGGGGCGCCTCACTTCCTTGAGCCACCTCTTCTGCCCCACGAGGTTTCCAGGCCCTTAACATATCCCAGCAAGCCCCTAATTCCAGGAACCCTGTCCTCTTACATAGAACCTCTTCAATAGAACAGCAGCCCCCCCGTCTCGGAGAAGCGACCCATTGGGGATCCCCCACAAGGATTTTTTTTTTCTTTTTTGGCCCCACAGAGGATCCTTATTAGAAACGAGAGGCAAAAGGGAATCACCACTCTATCACTACCTCCTCCCGCCGGGGCCATGGTACCTACTGGGTGGGAAAGAGAATGCCTTTTTCAATCTGAGGGCAAGGGTAATACAGGCTCCCTTGGAGGGTGGGCAGAATCAAAAGAGAAAAACAAAGACCTACCGTGCTTTCAGCAGCAGGACTGTTAGGACTCTAGACCCCTTCAGCCTTAAGAGGAAAATCCTCCCCCACCCCTCACCCCCTTTCCAGTGACAGGCTTTTACTGTTTTTCCTTCCGTCTTACTCCACTCCACACCTCTTTAGCTGGCTGACAGCCAGCAATTCAGAGAGCTGTTTCCTGTGCGCGGAGAGGCTGGATTCTAGCTACTTCCAAAGAATTAAGTACATAAACCAACAGGCGCCCCAACCAAACATTCTCACCAAAGGACTGGGGTTTTCCCTTCATTTTTCTACACCCACATACCCAAAGGTTTAAAAAATTACATTGATCTTTTAAACTATATTTATTATATGAAAGTAATATACAATTAATGTAGAAAATTTGGAAATTACAGAAAAAAACAAAGAGGAAAATTACGATTACTTTATGCCACCATCCAAAATTAAACCACTATTAACATTTTAGTATATCTTAAAAGTCTTTTTTATCTGCTTATGTATACAGGTATACACCCATATTTTAAAAAACAAAATTGAGAGCACATAACATGCACTATTTTTATAACCTTTTTAATATTCAAAGAGCATTTTTCTTTCGAGTCAAATGTTCTTCTTTATGACTTTTAATGGCTGCACAGTACTCCACCACCATCTGGATGGATATACAATAATTTACTTAAGCAACACCCTATTGCAAATTTTCATTACAGCAGAAAAGGAATGAATTCCCAATCAAACAGTTGCTTCCCATTTTTCTCTATTGCAGTGCTGTGATGAACATCTTATAACAAAATCCTTAATTATTTTCTTAGGATAAATTCCCAAACACAGAATTAGTAGGTCAAAGGACATGGAAGCTTTTAGGGTATGCAATACATTATTACTAGACTGTCATCCCAGAAGGCTGTACCAATTTATACTCCCACATGCAATATATGAGAGTGTTATTTCAATAGTCTTTTGCCAATATGGGTCTTATTTTTTTCTGTTATAGTTTGCTAAGGGAATAATTCTTTCAGCTATACTTGCCTTTATTTAATTACTAATGAAGCATACTTCTTTTTTCCCATGGTTTCACCCAATTTAATTTCTTTTATGAATTTTCTATGTATGTCCTTTTGCAGCTGGCTCTTGGTCCTTAAGGCTGCTTATATAAAAATTACAGGCTGGGGAAGAGGTGGAAGTAGGATGGTGCAGCCACAGGATACCCTATAGTCCCACATCTCTGAAGGAGGCAGAAAGACGAGATAAATGGTGAGAGTAGAAGATGGCTGGAAGCTTGACGTTGATAGAAGCTGGCTGTTCTCCCTCCTTCTGGGGTACTCCTGGCCTCTATGGGCCCCTCTGCTGGCTGCTCATACAGAGCCTTGTGTTCTCCAGGCCTGGTCCTTCACTAGTCTCTGTGTTCCCAGGCTGCCCTTCCTCACCTCTGCTCCATGATGGGTGAAGATGGCAGCGCCACATATCAGGGCTGGAGGGAGACACTGTGGCCAGTGAAGCAAGGAGAGGAAGAAAGGACGGAGGCAACATCCAGGGACAGAGTGATCTTTGTTGCAGCCTATGAGTGGCCTCAGTCTACCCACCCCCTCTGCTGCTGTCCACACACATCCTGCCCTCAGCTTAGCGTACAGAGGGGCTGGGTTCCATGGTCTACTCTCCCCTACACTTTTCAGTTTCTCATAAATGGAGAATAAGATAAAGCTCCCTGATACACTCCCTGTTGTGTCACCAAATACAACAAATGGCTTCCTGTAGCCCCTGAGAGAGAATGAATCAGGAGATGGAAGTGACAGGCTTACACTGCTTGACACCCAAAAGGGGGGCCACATCCCATAACCCATCTCCCCTGGTTTCTGAAGGGGAGACTCTCCTGCCTACACAGGCCTGAGCTGAATATCACACACCATCCTGGAAAGCACAGTGAGGGAAGATGCAGAACAAGCAGTAGCTAGAATCCCAGCAGGAGCTGTCGTCCTGCTTTGGATCGCAGGGGAAGCCTTGAGCCACCTTTGCACGGTAGAGACTGAGCCCCTACTAGGCCCTTGCATTGTCTAACTCTAACCTCTCCCTCCACTCCCCACCCTCCCCAGATCCAGGGTTATGGTGTCAGGAATCTGGGAGGGACAACAGCTTATGTGAAAAGGTGTTTTATGGCCGGGCATGGGGGCTCACGCCTATAATCCCAGCACTCTGGGAGGCCGAGGTGAGAGGATTGCCTGAGCCCAGGGGTTCGAAACCAGCCCCGCAAATTGGCAAGACCTTGTCTCTACAATAAATCAAAAAATTAGCTGGGCATGGTGGTGCTTGCCTGTAGTTCCAGCTACTTGGAAGGCTAAGGCAGAGGGATCACCTGAGTCCAGCAAGTCAAGGCTGTGGTGGCCATGAGCATGCCACTGCACTCCAGCCTGGACAACAGAGTGAGACTCCAACTAAAAAAAAAAAAAAAAAAAAGGTGTTTTGTGGGGGAAAAGAACCCAGGCTCTGAGTCTACACAGGTGGGGCTCTGATTCCTTCATGCACACTCATCTGTGTGATTCCCCATCTCACAGGTTGAGAAGCTGAGATAGGAAATCTAAGAGTCCCAGATCTAGGTAAGTCGTCCTGAATCTAGAGTGCTCCAAGGAAATACAGGGAAAGTAAGAGCAGAGGGATGACTACTCTCTTCTCTGAAGAGTAAACTTACTTTTGTACCTCATCTGGAAAGTTCAGTAAAGAATAGGATATAAGAAGGGTCAAAAAGGAAATCTGGATAAAGAAGTAGATAGTTTTCTTCTCTCCACTACTCCCCATTGTCGCATAAAGACCAAGTAACCTTGTGTTGTTCAAGCCTTCTATTCCCCAATTCAGCCAATGTCTCTGATCTAAAACTGCTCCCTTGCTGGGTCAGCCTAGGAGAAGGCTCTCCAACCGAGCAAGGTTTCTGTTCCCAAAAGGTATCATCACTCCTGCTGTTCAGACCTTTCCAGCCCCATGTCTGTCACCTTCCAGATGATGTAGAAAGCAACTCCTCCTCCTCTTCATCCTTGAAGCCAGGGGCAGAGGGCAACAGTTCTTCAACTGGCAGCTTTAGCTGGGTCAGGACATAAAGCTTGCCACTGAAGAACTACTGCGGCTCAGCCAGGTGAGGATGTGAGAGGACTAGGCTCCTAAAAAGAAGGGAAAGAAAAATGGGAAAGATCTGAGCAGGGCCATGTCACAGGGACCCTGTCCCACCAGCCTTTAAACAATTGCCCCAACAGACCTTCAACCTGTTAATTTCAGTGAGAAGCAAGAGGCAGACTTTCCTTACTTCTCTTTCCAAAACTAAAGCCTACAGAAACCCAGTCAAGCTTTCAAACCACGCCCCCAACCCCCACCTCAGCCTCCAGAGAGGGCATTCAGAGAGGGTAGGGTCTGGGACCCTGGACACATCCTACCAGTCACTCAGGTACTAGGTGTACCTCGGGTCCAGAAATGTGAGTTCAGTGGTCAGTTCAACTGACTTGTTCCCAGGGAGTTCAGCTGAAAGAAGAGTCCTGGGGGCCTAGACTAGGGAAGCGTGAAGAAGGGAGGAGGTCTAGAGTTTGGAAGAAAGTCAGCAGAGGCTCCTGAGACCGTGAGGGAGAGGACAGCAGACCAAAGGCTGGAGGGGAAAGAGGTATGGGCAGGGTGGCTGGGCAGTTTCCCCAGGACTCTCAGATGCCAGGCATTCCGCTTGCGCATTCCGGGTACATCTGGTATGAATTCCAGGCTGTCTGCCGGCCCCTCCATGTCTGAACTTTGTTCCAAGTTCCAAGCCCCGCCCCCACAGTTCCAACGCATGAATCAGCAGGAAAAGCCGGGGCCCTGCAGCATGGCCCAAGGAGGGGGTTGGGGGCGTGGCAGGCTTCAGGGCTGTGAGTTGGGGAGGGCGGGTCTGTGATGACACTCAGTCCAAGGGCATGGCCCAGGCCAGACTGAGGGGCCAAGGTGGTCTTGCCTTGGGATTTCCATACTCAGATGGGAATAAAGATTGGGGATGGGTGGGGTTCTGATTCTGAAACTCTCTTGGGAGGCATAAACTTAGAGGTATCTTCCTTCCCCTAGATGACCAGTCCAAGTCTGTCCAACTCCCCTCTGTCTGAGATGGCTGTGTTCAGCCCACAGGACTCAGCAGCTGCTGACAGTCTGTGCCAAGCAGGTGCCCTTGGCTGCAGGGCGGGGTGGGCCCAGGGCACTGACCCTCTGACCAGCTGCTCCATCAACCCTTTGGCACTCTGACAGCTCCTAGCCTAGTCTGACAGCCAGGATGACAGGCCAAATGAGTTGGAGGCTGGAACTAGGGCCGAGAGAGGTGGGGGCGATATCCTAGCTGAAGGCCTCGGGGAGGGGCCAAGAGTTGGCCGGGAGGTGGGGAGAGAGGGAGCCCAGTGATGACTAACCAGGCGCCCCACCCAGCCAGCCGGCTTCCCAGGCAGTCAGGGCCAGGCCTGGGCTAGGGGCCTCACAACCGGACAGGCTGGGGGAGGTGCAGAGGTGACCTTCTCTCGGCCCAAGACCGCCAGTTAGGCTGGTGGTGGGGGGGTGAGTTTCCAGGCCCTCCTCTAGCCTGCTTCACTCCCCCCCCGCCCAGCAAACCGCGGTGAAACCCTAACCTTTGAGTTGCATAAGGCCCCCGCACCACCGCCCCCTACTCCTCTCCCCTCCCCCCTTACATAACATCCCCTGGAGGGAACGAGAGGAGGGGCCGGCCCGCCCAGCGACCCCTTCCCTGCCAGGGCGCTGAACTGGCCCTGACCCAGTGAGTGCCGATAGAGGCAAAAGCACCTCCCCGCTAGCCGTTCCGTTCAGATCCTCCCAGGCTAGATGGCCGGTTCCTGTATCCCCGGACCCGAGGGCGCCGGGATTAGACGCCCCCGGCCCTCCGGCCCCTAGCCTTCCCCCCAGCTACTCCGCCAGACCTTCCACCACGACTCCTGTCCGGA